TGAAGAGTTGTTCATCAATCTTTCAAAGAGGAAGCAGCCGATTTAAATCTGCGGAAAATCAAATTTGAGCCGCCGAAATCGCTGCTTCTCTCTTGGACTTATCTCAGTAATAGATATATCTCATACCTATCGCTGGAACGTCTTTTACGAATCTAGTTCTATGAATATTCATGTACATATGCGAACAAAACGCAAATATTGCCTTACTTGTTGTTGCCGTCGTTTCCGTCGTAGTCGTCACTGTTGTTGCCGTTGTTGTCGTCGTAGGGATGCCGATCAAGGCGACAAGCATTGCAGCAGTGCCTGCGCCAAGAAGTAGAAGAGCAAATAGAGAGAGAATTAAACAGACAGGTGAACATTGGCAATGAATGTATTTAAAATAGCTAAATGAAACATTTTTAAGAGTTAATAAGAAAAAATGCAAAACAATTATTTACTATTTCTTTTTATTTCTGTTCGACTTTCGGCGATGGATATCCTGAAAATCCACTACATTTAACCATAAGCCAGTTGTCTGAAATAATTTAAAAGATGAATATAGACAAAAGAAAAAGAATAAATAGTTTCATTTTGGTTTCAGTTTTATCATCGAATCAAATAAAATTATCTGTCATTATAACTCAAATGCAAATGCGACCCATTGGGACAAAAATAATTTTATATTTAACAAATAGAAATCGAAATATCATCAGGATTAAGTTACTTTAGTTTCTACCAATAAATACTTATTGACCATTCGTTATCTTTCTAAAGTATATTCTCGAAATTCCTTCAATATATCATCTAACTTTTGATCAATCTCTAAACTATTTTCTGAGAAAGGTATTTTTGACGAGACCAGGAAAAGTTGAATTACAATATAAAAAATAACTAAGACAAAGGCTGTTGAAATATATATAACATGATAGTATTTCATTGTGTTTTCAATTCTTATTTAGTACTTTCCTTTTGAAATACTTGTTTTTCAACATAGATGCTATGTAAACGAATACGTTTCCAGTTTGTTTTATGCAAACGATGCTCAAAGAAGAACATTTTTCCTTGAAAACACGTCAAAATGCAGTTTTTGCGCAACAAGATCCTAAACTTTTCTAGTTCTGTTGTTATTCAATCCTTTCTTACTAAATTTTTTAAATATAAATTCTATTTCTTAAAATGAACTATTGTATGGATCCAAATTACGTTACCCATTGATCAAAGGAGAAAAAAGTGTAGAAAGCATACATAAAAATCGTTTACTTATAGAAAAAACATTGGATTTTTATTACGATGGTCATTCTCTCAGTCTGAAGAGCCACTTCATTAAGAGTTTAGGTAACAGAGTATGTGGTCAAACATACTAGTTGCATATAAAGATACTTATTAGGCTTAACAATTGTTGAACACTCTTTCTCTATCGAATTTTGTATGAAACTAGAATTTTTTGCCGTTTCTAAAATTCGACCAAGATGTATATATTTCAAATAAGAACTTGTTCATAGATAGAACGAAAACTAAATAATTCGCAGATCTTCAATAATAAATACTTAGGTGTATAAAACCTAATAATGAGCATGCTTCTCATTTTGCTATTTTACCGGTGTTGGTAACTGGGAATATAGATTAATTTTGGTGTCATTGTCGGTACGTGTTCGATTGTTTACTGATTTACCAAAATTTTGACTGACAATTTGCGTGGCAGATTTATTCTGGGGAGAGGTATCTCTCATGTATTTCTTCTTTCCTTCCTCCTCCCCTCCAATCACAGCAACCTGGGATTTGCCTTGATGATAACGCGCAGCTAACATAGTTGACATCTATTTGCACAAAGAGAAAATATGAATAATCAAAGAGTTTAAGAATATAATAACCGGGAAAAAAATGTTTTGAGGATTGGCAGACTGATTTTTTGTCGGATGGATATTATTTTTGGGTGATCGAGTGGTCACACGGATAACAGAACGAGATTGCATATCTTTTGTCAATGAATGATCATACTAGATTGAATGACTCATAAGAATAGAGACAGAAATAGCAATGGTGAATTACGCACTTAATGAGAAACTTTGCGGACAAATGGTACCGATAGCGGAGGATAACGTGGAATATTGTGCGGATCTACAAATATAGTTATAAATACTGGATAAGAATGATTACCCTGTGCTTTACTATATTTATCGACTTGATCTTGATTGTAGTGTGCGATTGTGTTCGATAAGAAAATGACTGTTTGTAGTGCACTGTACTGATGCATCGTCGTATTATATATTGTAAACAGGAGAAAAGGAATTAGTAGATAAATATGCATGTTGTAGGTTTCTTCAGAATGAGGCGATATATGCCATACAAAGGCTTCTTATAGGTCGATATGAGACACTCAGATTTCATCAAATAAATTTTCTAACGAAAAAAATTGAATTAAGATATTTTTCTTTTTTTACATCTAATACAAAGTCATGAATTTCATTTGCATAAAATTACCGCGCAAACGAGAGTTAATTGAAAATACCACTTGAACTCTTCCCCTTTTTTTCTTGAAATCTCACTGACAACACTCATATTTTTTTTAACCTTTGTATGCAACACGCAAAGAAAAGTCGTAAGCTTCGTATTACCTCGAATCACTGGTCTTTGAATCATGTGTGACTTGTTGTACAAGACCTGTAGGTGATAATTGGAATCATATGGTAGTATATTTGAATAGTAAGGAGCCAAATCAATCTATGGTCTTTTCGCTTTAAAATTGAAATCGAGAATAGATATTTACAAATAGTTTTCAATGGTAGAGTAGAATCAATGGAACTTTCTTTCAATTGAGATATGCAAGTATTTTGTTTCTCAATGCAAATATTGTGATTAAACTCAACAATGTCAAACGATCTTGAACATTAGTGTATTGTGATGATATTGTTTTAAAATTAATCAGAAATCCAGCGCACAGATGATTCATTGCCACTCATTTCGACCTCAGTTTATTTGTTGTATAAAGCAAAAAGAAAAAAACTAATTAAATCGAAAGAAGTGCTTCTTTTTGGCTTCTTATTCAATGCAACACACAACTCAATCTTCGGAATAATAAAATATAGAATTGTTATGTATTTCTCTTTTTCGTCTTTATTTTTTACTGCTCGAACCCTCATGTTATACTCTGATGTTAGCAGGACAGCAACGTGATGGTATTACAGAACGAAACAAAAGAATAATCTCCTTTAGCATGAAATCGAACCATGCATCTCTTGCTTTCCGGACAGTCGTATTAACCATTGTACTAGAAAGGAGTGCATCTTATTCTGTTTGTTTCGTCTTATGAATGAAGTGGAACATTTCAATTCATAACAAGAATTGTATTGAAATTGAACTGCGTATGAGATAGTAAGGTCTAGGGAAGAAATTGAACAAATGAAAAAACTAGTTTTATCAGTTTTCGGCTCTTTACTAGGCTAACATCTCAGCTAATAGAGTATAGTGAAAGGCAGAATTTTCACATCTGGAATATAAATAAAGTCACACTCTTAGCAGAATATTCGACAACATTTTTCAGTCTACACTCTCTTTTATTTTTAGTTCGAACTTCGAAACACACACTAACGCAAAATGAGCACCATCAATTGCTAAAAATCAGATTACGAGAATCTTTGTTAGTATTACTCTATATCAAAATTCCATATCAAAAAACTGAATTTTAAGCTTTACAATTTTTGGTTTATTTTATTTCGTAGATATTTTTTCTGTAAATTCAATTTATTTTCAATTCAACTCTACGTTTTATTGTTGTGATCAAAGATTGTTTCTTATTTCGAAGATTGAATCGTATGTTGCATTGAATAAGAAGCCAAAAAAAGAAGCATTTCTTTCAATTTCATTATTTTTTCCTTTTGCTTCTGTGCAATGAATTTCTTTGCGCTAAATAGACCAGCAACGAAACGAGTTACAACGATTTATTTTGTGTCTAATTAATCTAACGATGTTTTTTCTGGCTTCTGAAAGAAAAGACTCTTTTGTAGTTTTTGGGATTTATGCCCTGGACATCTGAGAATTATACTCTTAAGTAACCTTCAAAGCTATGCAAATTACTTCAACATTTTTCATCCCTATTAACTTCTCTTCATCAAAGTCTGATCATTTTCATTTGAAACTCAATTTTAGAAAAAAAATATCACATAGCTTTTCCAAACAATGGGAATAACAAAGTTTAGACAACACAATTCATTTCGCTACATATAAGAGAAGAAGAGAATATGCGTATATATAATAGATGTCTACTAATGAGTGGATTATGAGCAAAAAAGGTAAACTAATTAATTAGTATAAATCCTATAGTTCCTCTTTTATTGCGATGCCAGGACTACGGAGACTTATAAAAAAAACATATATTCAGTAGTATACATCGGACAGTTCCCCTTTTACTGTGATGGAGCAACTAGCGAAATTAAGAGAACGTACCCTATAATTTTTCTAAGTCACCCATTTCAGCAAAAGAAAGCCTGTAGGAGGGTGTGGATCTCTATTGAAATAAGAGTCCCACACCCACACCCTCCTGTAGCCTCAGCGAAAATCCACGCGCTCTTTTACTTGCATCATATTTTTACTATTTTGAATAGTCAAATGAGGAAATGGAATTCATCATGCTTCTATAATAGTAAGGACTCCACAAAAGGGTGGAGTCACTTGGAGTCAAGTGGAGTCAGGTGGAGTCAAATGGAGTCAGGTGGAGCCATGGAATCATGGAGACTGCCGTTTCCCCCTTGAGACAAGTACTTAGATCTCTATTCATTGTAATTGAGAGACCATTTTGTTCTTGCTAATTGTGTGTTAAACTTTTGATATTTATATTTAATCTTCAAAGTTGTTTTATACAGAAGATATCTATGAGGGAAATCGTCAGACTCGAAAACAATCCGATCAAAATAGAAACTCATTTTGAGAAGTTGAAATATACATCCTGATGAGTTCGAAGTAAAAAAAACAAGATATGTCCTGAATGAAAGTAATACATTCTTAAATTTAGTTTTTTATTTTAAACATTGATCCTCTGACGTGCATCGTCCAGAAGTCGCTGCATACGTGCTCGTTCAGGGTCATTGGGTGATGTTAATTTCAATGCTCTTTCATACATATTCACTGCTTCTAGCAAGTAGTCGTCACCATGGTCAGTAAGCGCTAAAGCAACATATGAACAAGATCGAATTACCAGCGGATGATCTTCAGGATAATGCTTCTCAGCTAATGCCAAAGATTTCTTGTATATTTCAAGAGCCAAATCATGCTCATGCATTTTTCTATGCAAACGTCCTTTAAAAACCAGACTGTCAATAACATTTCTATGGTATGGAAGATTTAAATGATCATGTATATCAAACACACGTTGAAAATAACTCATTGCACGATCGTATTCATCAATTTCAAGTTCGTCTCCTAAACTCTTGTAAGTTGTGGCTGTAAGTACATGATTTTCGCCAAAAATTTGTTGGCATAGAGGCAATGCCTTAGTAAAATACTGCACAGCGCGAAGCTTGTCTCCCTTATCTGAGTGGATAAAGCCGATATTGTTTAAAAGACTAATGATAACAGGATTATTTTTATCCATACGTTGAGCTATTAACAATGCTTTGTTGTAGTATACTAATGCTTCATCATATTTGTTTAAGGTACGAAGACCCGAAGCATAGTTACTCATTATAGTAAGTTCTAATTTAGTATGAATACTACCATATGGGGCTATTTTTGCAATTCTTTGGGCTTCTTTAAAGTAAGGTAGTGCTTTATCATATTGACACGCTTCCCAATGAGTAGCACCGATATTATTATACATGGTAGCTAGATTTGGATGATTTGAAGGTAATGACTGACGTTGGATATCGAGTGCTTTTTCAAGATAAACTAGAGACTCATTTGAATTTCCCATCTTAGAATGAGCAAGACTGAAATTGTTGTAGATATCAGCAATGTAAAAATGATTTGCAGGCAAATACTTCTGGCGTAAAGTGAGTGTTTCTTCAAAGTTTTTGAGAGCCTCATGATATTTACTTTTATTCACATGAATAATACCCAACACTTCGTAGGTGTGAGCTCGTGCAAGAGCTAGTCGACGATGACGCTCATAGGTCAAATCATCATTATTATACCACGTGTCTTGTCTCATTTTCAGCGCTAGATCAAGAACGGTTTGAGCATCATTATAATGATCGCAATTCTTATGCAAACGACCTAACTGATGATATGATCTTGCAATACCTTCGTCACGATCGGCAGGAACATCAGTATATATGGGCCAAGTATTATAAAGCTCAATTGCTTTGTTTAAATGTTCAACAGCAAGTTCATATTGGTTCATGCTTTGCAGGGCGATACTAAGGTAATTATGTATTAATGGAATGTCAACATGATCGGGAGGAAGTTCTTTCAGTAGCAATTGGCTAAAATATTCGAGTTTACATTTATTTCTAAATAATGTTCGTTAACTCACGCATATCGCTCTGCTCTACCGTATTGGGCAGTATAAGTAAGAAGGTTACACAAAGTAAGAAGGTTACTTTCGTTTCCAACTTCTGTTTCGAGAAGTCGATAAAGTTCGTGTGTTACACTTTCTTCATTGTCGATTAAAGTTAATTTCATATACCAAATGTTTTCATTCTATACAAAGAATACAGCTTAATCAGTATAAACTTACATATTGATCGAAAAAACAGTTACCTCGTCTTTGTTAATCGAATTAATACGAAATACTGTCCCGATAGAAAATAATGTTTCCTTCTCCTCAGTATTGTCGCTTTCTACAATTCTATAAAATGGCTTGCTTTTACATATTAATGGATCGATATAGAATTCTTCCACAACACGGACCTTATCAGTACATTTTTCAGATCCCAAAAACATAATTGCCACATTTTTATCTTTAGTAGTAGAAAGAAATGTGTGGCGACAAATGAGATGCCCGATGTTACTCTCAAGGATATCAATTTCTTTAAAAGTCATGCAGCTGCCTCGGTAAACCGTAAAAGGTTCTTGAACATTTTGTTGTGTATGCAGTTGGATCAAGTGAAGGTGAAGATCACGAATAAAAAAACGATAGGTAAACATCAGATCAATATCTCTTGTGCGGAGGGCTGTATTTACCATACGATAGACAAAGCTATCTTTTGTGTACCAAGCAACGGCATCCAATGGTGTATAATTCCTTTTAAACTCGAAAATTTTGTTTTGTTCAGTCGGATCATCTTGATAGAAAAGAAAGGTTTGTTGAAGAAGTTCGTCAAGACTTTTTGAACTGGGTGGCATGGTGACCAAAACTTTAAAGAGCAGCTTGAACCACATAAATTCAGCATTATGACGGTTTAATTCACCAAACGCTCGTTGTTTAATATCGGTTCTAAAGAAACTAATACCTTCAAGCCAGCTTTGAGAAAAATGATCTTTGAAGTCTTTTGATAATTTGTCAATAAGTCTTTTCTTTTCATCCTTATAGAAGACGTCTCGTACAATTGTTCTATTCCAAGAATTGAACCACGTGTCGCCCAATACATAGATCGCGACAATTTGAGTTGAAAGAGGCGATTTAAGTCGTAAAAGCTCTTTGAGTTCTAACTGAGAGATGATGAGAAATATTTTGTCCATGAAATTCAACTGTGAAATATGATCAAGAAACGATTCGAGAGTTGAACTATAATATACTTCACGAGCGACATTACTTGCTATACTAAGTCGAGTAACTTCATCGTCTTCGGAAGTTTCTTCATCGAGCCAAACAATAGCCACAGTATCGATGTTAGGTGAGCTGTATTCTCTTTCCATTCAACTATCGTTGGATATATTGAGAGCAACAATGATTCTTTATTACCTACTTTTCTGTCTAAAAAGCATAGTGAAATATGACAGATTGACAAGAGATATGCTTTTTATGGTCTTCTAAAAACTTATTTTTCTACTTCTTTTATGTCAACTGCCCATAAAGAAGGTTAATATGAGAATAATAATGCGTTTGCACGGCGAACAGTTTATATTTTTAGCCTTAAAACATCATTTTCTAATTGCAGTTCCAATTCAATTGAATTTCGTCTGTTTCCATTACATGTTTTTCAACGTTCGTCGAAGAACTCAATAGAATCATCTTGAGAGACAAACTCGTTTAGATGACTTCTACCAACTAGACATGTACCAATACCAAAACTCTTGGGTTTTGTGATGTGAGTTTTGAGTATATTTTTGGGTTTTGGTGCTCCTCTGGAACTAGGATTTTGATTATTGCAATAAAGTATTCCAACTTGCTTATTAAGCTCCACATAATATAACCAGGACAAAAAAAGGTATCATTACTAGAGATGTGACAGTTCTGTAATCGTTCCTATTTGAGGAAACTGTTGAAAATGTTCTCTGATAGGAGTTGATCTGTTTAAACAGCTCAGTACTTGAAACTGAACTGTCCAACAAGGGTGTGGGTGTGGGTGTGAGTATGAGTCATTTCTGAAAGTACATCCACACCCACTCCCACACCGACACCGACACTCACCCCCACACCCTCAATTGTGCATGAGTTAGAAGTTTTTAAAAACTAAAATACATGAAGTGACAATCGATGTCCTTCTTTATGTCATATCACTAACGGTGGTTTTTTACCGATAACTCCTCTGAACAAACCTTCATAGCGCTGATTTTTTTAGGATATCTAGAGTAACTTAATGTCCATGCAACATATAAAAATCAGATCTAGGAAAATTCATTATCTCGAAATACCCATGTTTTAATTTTGCGAAGTCACGTCGCTAACAAATGATTTTACCCATATCTTGTTATATAATCAAATTAACATTCAACTTATGAATGAAATTAGTTCAACTGTACGCTGAAATCGCCCATCTTCATACGTGCACTAAGGAAGATGTTTAAACGTATGAAAGCATCGATTTACTTCATCATCAACTTTAACTTTATACTAATTTAAATGATCAATCTTAATAAGAGATGTTTATGCGACTTAAGTCAGTATCACTGTACCACTTTTCAATGCAAATCTTAACATTAGTTCTTACCTTAATTTGAATTTGTTTCATAAAGAATCCAATGTTTGTGCTTCTTTGGTTTTAAAAATTTCTAAATATTATACACGTATAATATATTTTTACGCTCATGTTGTTTCTATAATCCTTCAACAAACAAGAAGAAAACAGAAAATATCAAATACTCTAGAGAATTGTCAACACTCAACTAGAATACGCTTTCAGGTTATATTTCATTCATTATTACTGTTTACCTAAGAAGTTACCCTTTTATTGATTTAGTGGCACTTTTTTTACGGACATCTCTAATCAACTCATTCTCTGTATAAAATTATTTCTTCTTGATATTATACAGCAAAGGTAGTCATATTTGCATAAATACTACTAAAACTATATCAATATCTACGGGGTAGTAAAGTCTTTGTATATGTGCAATAATCATTAATCATACACAAATGCAAAGAGAAAAATATTTCTAATCGATAGGTTATTTAGTTTTATGAATAATCCTTAACATTTTGTGGACACTCACAGTCCATCTCTGAGGTTTCTTATCGAAATTGTATACTTTCAAACATTTGTCCTTGAATTAAACGCGCGGTTGCATTACCATCTTAGCTACTCTTGAAATATATAATATATTCTAACATGAAAGATATTTGGCAACTTTTATAATGATTTACTCATGGTTTAATATGTTAGTTGATTAAGAGGAACAAACTTTGAGGTACATTCGTGTTTCAGGTAATTTCGAGCGTACATAAAAAGATACGGCAGAAGATGTGGGTATGGATACAGAAAACACCCAAACCCACCATCTACACTCATACTCCAAGATGATTTCTGAAGTATTGTTGAAGAAACTTGTCATTTGTTATTGTTCTGTAGAGGGTATCTTAGAGTGTGGGTGTGTGGGATGTGGATGTGTGGGGTCGGGGTTTGGATGGATGTGAGTGAAGATTGGAAGAAGAGTCCCAACCACACTCACACCCATACCCACTACCACCTACACCAACACCCACACTCACACCCACACCCACACCCACACCCACACCCACACCCACACCCACACCCACACCCACACCCACACCCACACCCACACCCACACCCTGTATTATCTCTTACAGCTATTGAAAATAAAAATAAAAAATAAATAAAAAATTTACTGAATCAATTTTTGATTCATATATTCATTTATGTTGCTCTTCCTATTATTAGAATTGTTCTATAAAAAATCCATGTTTACTTTAATTAAATAATATAAGTTGTCTATCTTTCATATTCGTTACTGTACCGAGCGTACGTAGGTGTCAAATGGCCTGTCTAGCTGAAGCTCAATGTCTTACAGCTTCTTTTGACTCATCAAATATGCATTGTGACCTATTCCCTCAAAGTCCGACTCAAATTGGAAATTTGAGAGCACAACAGGGCGTCATAACTATGGTTGTCAAAGATGGAACACGAATACCTCCTGGTTAGTGAAAAATACGCAAACTATTTTTTAAGCAAAACATGCGCAAAAAGAAATCGAATGTACGCCATAAACGAATGCGAGAAACAGATAGGAGTGAGAAATTACTGTTGCCAGACAGTTACGTCACTTGATAACTCGTAACGGAAACAAACCCGCTACCAGTTACCGAGGAACGGAATAACGGTATCGTGGATGCGAGTGTGAGTGTGAATGTGGATGTAGATGTGAATCAAGAGAATATACACCCACACATAAAAATATCTTTTCAAGCTTATATCATGTAAAAATTATTTGATGAAGATTCTATCGCTATTTTAAACGTGAATGAACTACTCTGCAGACTATTACAATTCTGATTTGTGATGCATTTTAGGCACAACGACAACAACAACGACAGCCACGACTACCACTGCCTGTCTTAATACAGTACAACCAGCAGGACGTTGTATAAAACACTTTTTCCTCTTTAACAGCCTTGAAAGCCTCTTTTTTTTTATAGCTCCAACCATTACATGGTACTTAAATGGCAACTTGAAAGACCATTATGGTTTATACAATGGTACTGGCCAGAACAGCCCAACGTATGCAGTAGACCGAAATGGATGTGGATAACGTTTGAAACTAAATAATTCAATGCAACAATGGGTCACCATTAATATTGCATCCTATATTGACTTGCGCTCCATCTCCTTCTCTGTTGAATCATGGATCAAACCGACAATTGTTAGCGACGGCGTTGAACACGTCATTTTCGGCCAATGTGTAGCACTACAAACTCGCCAATGTATGCGCACATCGATTAGTGGTTCGGGTACCATGTCTTTTCTATTTCGTAGTGATAATCAGGTAGGTTCTCGGATGATATCC